GAGCCTCTCTTTGTTCCCTTTGTTCCAACACAATTGTATACGTACAATTTGTGGAAGTCAGGCTTTTGACGATGGTACAAACGGGTTCCTTCGCTGCCGTCCCTAGGCCGGCACTACACTTAACAGCCAATGACAACCAGATATAAAAATAATAACTGATAAAATTATACTCAAAAGGCTAATGTGAACCTGAAACCATTCACCAGCTCAACATTACCTAAATGAGCACCAAACAAAAACATCAACCCAAATAAGGCAATTCCAGGATAACCTCATCTGCATCCAATTGAACTGCTCCCAGCTTCGATGGTACCTGATGAAATGAGCAATCCAAAATGATGTCAACTTTCCGCGTGGGACATAAATTAAAACGGAAACAAATAAAATCCCCACCAAATGGTGGTACGAAAACTTAGAGCAAAAAATAACCCCTGCCTAGAATCACATGATCTCGACCACCACAATCAATCACCTGACCTTAGACCGACCCAAGTCAGGTGACCCAAAATCTAAGAAAACTTTCCCACCCGACCCACAAAAAAAATTCGTTATAAACGGAATGGTGACTGTGGGGTTCGAACCCACGCCTCCAACATGGAGACTGGAACTTAAGTCCAGCGCCTTAGACCGCTCGGCCAAGTCACCTGAGATGGAATTGTTGTAAAACTGGCAAAGGTTTCCTGGTTTATTTCAAAAGAATCAATTAAACAAATGAAAATGGACCTAAAGAATAGGGATTTCACGGATGTCAGGGATCTACAGTTAAATATTCGTACAATACAGGGTTTCAGATGATATCATTCCCTGTGAACACAAAGGTTAACTGTAGGTCACAATGGAAGTCAACAGGAAACAGCAGAAAAGTGGAGGGGTCTGAGTTAGCATAACAGAATGTTATAATCATTGAGACCCCCACACTTTTCTTTTGCCCTCTGTTGATGACAATAGCGACCATCAGATAACCTTTTGGTTCCCAGGCAATGATGACATCTGAAACCTGTCATCAGTGATATATATAACTAGGGATCGTTGACATCAGTGTAGTTTTAGTTTTCTTTTGTCTTTTTATTACTCTGAAAATAAACAATAGTCTTATGAATACCAGTTTACGTCACAGGAAAGTTAATAATTAGGATACACTTCAATGTATAGGAAAAAATGCCATGTAGTTTTTTTTCTTCCGTATCTGTTATTTGCAGCTGCTTGGGTTTAGTGAATCATTTGTAATGCTGTAAATCGTTCGAACTGAGGTGATACATGAGGCGAATTATCGTCACCAGACAGTAGTGTACCTGGTAAGTTTTTCTGTGTTCTCAATGTTATGTTAGTGCTTGACTGATGAATCACTAGTGTTTGTGTTTGTTCGAATGCAGCATTGTCTTTAGAAGACACACTGTGTGTGAAGTGGCTCGCCTTCCTGATACGAGTATGCGGCATTCTGTTAGCGACCGCTATTTCATGAGCCTCCCACCTAGGAAAGTTGGGGACTGCAATACTGAACGCTACTTGAGGATTCACTAGTATTTTTTGTTCTCTTTACCTATTGTATGAGTATTGCTCTCGTCAATTCTCTCGGCTTTGTACACTGGGTTTTATGAATTATAAATTAATTGAATTTAATTTCCATTTGCATTTGCACTTGCACGAACCGGTTAAACCGTAAATAAATGCTGGCCTTTACCCGTGGGCTAACCGTTTCCATTCGTCTAGGATTGCCGCCAGCCCCATTCGGTCTTTTCCTGTTTCCAATTACCTCACCTTTGTACCTTGCAATTTTACAATCAACCCGAACAATGACTTCGTCAGCCTCGTCTCAATATGCTTCCTCGCCTTCGGGGTCGTTGCCCGTGGGGTCAGAACGAGTGAGCGGTTCAAACATGGACGTGTGGACCTTGTTTAACCAACTTACCCAGAAACACGGAGCGGTCAACCTTGGACAAGGCTTTATGGGATTTCCTGCTCCGGACTTTGTGAAACAAGCCGGTAGTGCGGCTGTATTGGACGAATCCTGTACCCAGTATGCACCACCTCGCGGTAAACCCGAGTTACGGGCCCAGTTGGCCAATGATTATTCGGCGTATTTGGGTCGTACAATTGACCCTGACCAGGAAGTTGTGGTGACCGCTGGTGGCAACGAAGGGCTGCTATGCGTGTTTTCGGCGTTCATGGATCCCGGGGATGAAGCCATCCTGATGGAACCGGCGTTTGATCAATATATCGTAAGTACTTGTTGATTAGATAGATAATAGTCAGAGGGAGTTGGGGAGAAAATGTTGGAAGTATCGCTTCCCAAGCAATTGAAAGATTCTCTAATCACATGAAAACCAACTGGTTGTTCGTTAATCCCTTTATTTTCAAAAAAAAATTGAAATTTCCTCTTCCTGCAGGATAAGGAAAGAACACCCGGATGTTTCCAACCAAGCCAAACGGAGAATGGACCTTGTAAGAGAAGTTTGTTGCGCTTTTTATTTAAAAAAAAACTTCATAATACGTCCTCATACCATCGAATCTTATCTAACCAAAAACGTGGTTTACTATGTTTGCACACTGCCTATTACCCTGGTGCATTGCCCTCACGTTTTTTTTTCACCTGCTGTAGATGAATTTGAAAATGATCCACGGGGTACCAAAGTTCGTACCTCTGCATGTCAGGGATGGCGTGGACGCCTCCCGCCAGGTCGTATCAGCCGATGACTGGATATTGGACCTGGACGCTGTGCGGGCTAAGATTACTCCTCGTACCAAAATATTGGTACTCAACACTCCGCACAATCCCATTGGTAAAGTGTTCACCAAGGACGAATTACAGGGTATTGCTGACATCGCCAAGGAACACAACCTACTAGTACTGAGTGATGAAGTGTACGACCGTCTGACTTACGAAGGTCGCCCCCACGTGTCTATCGCTAGCCTACCCGGTATGTGGGAACGCACCGTAGTGGCCTGCAGTGCCGGTAAAGCGTTGGGAGTTACGGGTTGGCGTATTGGGTGGATGCTAGGAGCATCGGAATTAATCACTCTTTGCTTACGAGCGCATATCCGCTACGTTTTCACCGTTAACTCCCCCATGCAAATTGGGGTCACCCACGCTCTTCAATATGCGCACGCCAACGGGTTTTTCACTAAACAGCAACAAGAGTATTTGGCTCGTCGGGATCGTTTCCTCCGAGTAATTGACGCCTTGGGTTTACCCTACACCGTTCCTCATGGTTCATATTTTGTTTTAGTCAATACCAGTCCCATTCGTATCCCTGACGGGTATGAATTCCCAGCGGAAATTGCCCAGAGGGACCATTGCTACAAAATGTGCTACTTCTTTACAAAGGAAATTGGTGTCACTGGTATTCCCCCGAGTGAGTTTTATTCTGAAGAAAATGCCCCGTTGGGTCAGCATTTTATCCGTTTTTCCTTTGCCAAATCGGACGAAACTTTGGACCAGGCCGGCGAGAGATTACACAAATTGAAAAAGTTCATATCTCCGTTGGCCTAGATATATCAGGCAGGCGCAGTACCACCGTGCGTTTCGTTGAAAATTGCATATCATGCTGAGTTGGAAAACAGCCGAGGTGGTGAAACAGACATTGGATCTGTACCATTCGATTCATCAGTGATTGCCTACGTGTGGGCGGGTGCTTGATTTTTTTTTCGTGGCAAATGTTGGACATTTCTTCATTATTTGGACCATTTTGGAATAAAAAAATCTGGCGCATGGTAAATTGTTCGAGTACAATGTAAAGTAAGTTGATTACCCTGTGGCTTCGGGTGAAGTTGCAGCTTGGTCTCACCCAAAAACAATACCCTGTACCGTGGCCGCTGTTTTTGCCATTGATATTGGTAACCACAAACCCTGTCAGTTGGATGGCGTACGTTTATGTGTCATGAAGTAAATTAAAAAGATTTACCTTCCCCACCCCCTTTGCGAATACTCATACCCGACATGAGCCGACGAAGGTTATGATTTAACCGATTTGATGACGATGAAGGCATCGATGGTGAGGCCATCGAATTTGCTGACAGAGCGGTACCATGTAAAGCCGGACGATAAGTTGCTTCGGGGGAAAACGGCCTCGCCCACCGTGAATGTTCAGTCAAGTGTGTTGGATGAGGCGATGCCGGGGCCAAGTTAGAAGGGAGGGAACCACTGGGTGACACAGACGGTAATCCCTCCGAATGAGGTGCGGTATTTCGGGGCAACGTTGCATTGGCAACGGATCCCGTAGGGATATCGACGGGAGTTCCCCGTAATAACGTCGCGGTGGTACTGGAAGTAAGAGATAATGCGCGGTGGGTATTCTGACAAGCAGCAGAACTGGCCCGTTGTTTAAATATTTCCACCAGGGGTGCCTGCTCAGATTTTTTCAACCCTTTGAGGTCAAGCACCACATAGAAACTTCCCAAGGTGGCTTCTGGGAACAGCAGTAAAAAGTTTTCGACGGTAGAGGCAATCGGTTCCTGAGGGGCCAAGATGGTTTTGAGCACGGCTTCCACCCTGCCCACTCCTTTGTTGACCAGCTTGACAAACCTGGTGGGTGGTGCCGGCGGGTTATCCACCCCAATACCGGGCATGTCCAATAACACCGTTTTGATCGCCTGGATGTCCAACAACATTTGTTCGGCGCCCACTTCAGAGATTTGTCGACAGCGTTGTAAAGTGGTGAGGAATTTTGCAGTAAATGCTTCGGCAAACTTGTCGCAAAAACTCCGAATGTAACGGTCGTTGGTGAGTGTCCGCCGAATAACCCCTAGACAAAGGTGGATAGCGCCGGCCACCATAGACACATAGTCAGATTGATCCCCCACTGCTTGAAGAGTGGCCCAGGGAAGTTTGAGCATGGTGGAAAAGGCCGATTCACAACAGGATTCCACACCTCGGGTCAGGGATTTGAGACTGGTATGGATAGTATTCAAGAATGCGTCCTGCTGCGCGGTAAACTGTACCTGATCGGCCAAGACAGGGTCAAGCTGGCTCACAATTTTAGTCTCCAGTTGTGCGGTGGAGCGGTGACAATAGTCCGCGGTGTTAATAGTCCAGCAAATGTGGGTGAGCTCGTCGTGCGACATGGGACGGCGTTCGTCCACCGTGTACAATTTGGGAAGCTTTCCCAAGAGCACGTCGTTGGCATAATACAAAAGTCCTTTGGCGAAAACGTGGGCCAATTCCAGCAAAGGTTTCCCAGTGGAAAAACTGGCGCACTTGTCCAGGGCGTCCCGGTAAAGGTAGAGAAGGTCAGAGGCTGACGAAAGCACGGGCATTGACGGATCTTCGTTGACCTGGGACGACTGGGCTTTAAATCCTTCCAATAACGCCATGATTTTCTTCTCCTCGGACGCTGTGTACCGGGACAAGTACGGTTCAAAACACTGGGAGATGATGTGGTGAAAAGGGGACAAGGCGGTGGAATCCGACCCATTCGGAATATCATTGTCTTGGCCCTGAGTGTCAACACAGAGTGTGGGGAGCGCGGCTTTGAAGCGACGTTCCAATTGATGCTCAAACGATCGGGTGAGTTGCAGACCCCGTAGAATTTCACCCACGTCAAGGTCTTTTCTCGCGTCTTTAAGAATCTCTGCTAGTTGATTACGAGTGGTGATGGCAAATTTTTCACACAGGCGCTGGGCGACGTGCCACCGGGAAGGAAACACCG